AGAGAAACTGAAATTACCTGATATAAGATGAACAGGGCCAAGGATGGCAAAGAGGCCTTAGACCTACTTGCCTGCTTAGAAGTGAATCAAAGACCCTCTTCTCCAGTGTCTTTTACTCATGGCTTCGGGAGAGAGAGGACTTGAGTTAAATGAGGGACTCTGAATTTCAGGGGAAAAGGGAGGATTTAATTGCTCTGAAGAGACAGTTCCACCTCCACCTACTGACCATGCCAAATGGAAACACTCAAAATGGCTTTATTAGCACCGTTACCTCACAGCTTTAAGCTTTGATAAAACCAAGAGTGGGGTTTCCAAGGGGAATGGAGTATTGAGGCAGGTCAGTTTCCATTGCATCTACAGAAAATGCCAGCTACAGATCTGGTCCCAAATCCCTCTTGAAAATGTGATTTTACAAGCCTTTGAAAACAGAAGCCTTTATATCTTAGTAGGAACTGACATTTCTCTGCTCCCATTGCTCCAGATGAGACCATTGTGCCTCCTGACGTCCCCAGCTACTTGTCCTCACAAGGGACACTTTCTGACCGGCAGGAAGCAGTCGTCAGAGTCGATACCCAACAGCCCAACGGGCACATAGACAGCAATGGTGAGAACCCATTCAATTATTTCTTCTGTAATGCTCTGTCTGAACGTGATACGAGGAGGTAGAAGTCACAGTACAAAGTACCTCTGTGCTTGTCAGGAGTTATCTGAAAGATCTTCATAATGTAATTCTCCAGCTACTGCATTTATGCAGAACAAGGATCTGCCTTTCACCTCACAAAGCTGTCCTCTCCCAGCAGTACCAGCGTTCGTACCAGCAGACTGCTTCAGAAACTGCTCAGTCAGGCCCTAAAGACTATTTTTTTGCTAATTTTGGATTAGTGTTTTGGCACCAGAGTTACCTACAGTTAAGCTCTACTAGAAAATACATTACCGTTGCCTGTCCCTGCCTTCAGGCTTTGAAAGTAAACGTTGGGATTTTACAGTATTGAAACACGGCACGTTAGGAAGGGAAAGTTAAGCGTCCTGAACTAAGATTCTCTGAGATTGTACAGCATTTACTCCCTTAAACTTCAGCTTAAAATTATCTCCATTGCTATTTTTCTCCCTTTCACGGCTTTTACAGTAGAAATAAGACTAACGAGTCGTTTAACCGAGAGCAGATGGTTGCAATCTTTAGCCAGATGCTTTGTTTGTTGCAGGTATGTGTCAGGCTGATGCTGGAAGGTGTCCAGATGTTGAAGCTCCCGCTGTAGGATGCAGACAGCCCAAGCTGTGTCTCAGCTATAATAAAGACACTTGGAAAACCGAGGACACGGCTGATGGAATGCTCGTTCCAGATAAGACAGGTACAAAACCCATTAATCTGGAAAGGTATTTGGTGTTTGTACAGATCAGAAAGCCTCCGAGTCAGACAGCATTAAGACAAGAAATTGTTATCTTCAGAAAAAGAAAAAAAACAACAACAAAAAACCCCAACAAAAAGCCCAGAATGTTTCTCAGGTATGAGCACAGTAGATTTACTTTCTCCCGCTTGCTTTGATCCTCTATAAACCTGGAGAGTTCCAGTTGGAGGAACCATCAGCAAGAGGCACCCCAGAGCTCCCCATCGCCCGCCCTTGCAGCTGGCTGAGCGGTAATTTGATTTGAGCTGCTCCTAAAACGTGAGAGCCCTTCCAGACTGAAGGTGTTAAAATTTGTCATGGTGCTTTAAAGGGGCTGTCAACTTCAAAGCTCGGCTTTTTTTTTTTATTTTATTTTCAAAATGTAAAGGTTGTTTCGGGCACTGCACCTGCCTCTGCGCTTTGCCAATTTCTTGGGTGTTACACTCGCAGGGTTCTATTTTTAGGATGTGTTTTCTGCTCTCGTGCTGCATTGTAACATCCACAGAAAAACAGCCAGCGAAAGAAATTTTCTCTCCAGGAGAAAACTGTAAAGTTTAATAACGGAAAGTTGTCGAGTGCACTAAGGAAATTAACTTTCAACATTTGGAAACTCCTTCCTGCTCGCTCCTTTGAGTTCTGTGCATCTGTTCCTGCCCCTGGCAGTAATGACACACCTTGAGATACCGGTGAGAGCTGACAGTGATCCCTCTAAAGGAGCAGCACAAAAATAAGACGGTAGCTTTGTATTTTAAAGCAGGTACAGGAAAGATCCACTTTCTATTTCTACCCTGACTAGAAAGTCTGGAAAAGGAAATAAATGCATTGTTTATTTATTAAAAAAAAGAAAGTCACAACTTCTTTGGAGTAAAAAGGCCCAACCAACTAAACCTGTTAATTGGAACTACCTTTAGTGGTAGCTACTGAAAAACACAGCCATTCACTGGCACAAAGCAAGAAATGTCTGTGCTCTGTAGTAAGTGCTTCCCACCTGCTGAGGGACAGATGATCTAAACCGACCTGCCTTTTCCTTCTGCACCTCGTGTGCTTCAGCACTGACCCCTCCAGCTGCTTCACCTTCCCCTCTTTTCTGTTTCCCTTCCTCCCCTGCAGGCTACGGCCTCCCGGTTGTGTGCGCGGACTGCAGCGGCAGCACCGACAGCATCAACCTCCACATGTACCCCCGGGACGGGGAGTACTACTCCCAGAGCCTTCAGGCTGTGGAGAACACCTACCCCAACGCCCTGGGCAGCAAGGAACGCAGCAGGAAGAGGGGGGCAGGCACCAGCCTTCTTCATCCTCAGCCGTGCAACGGGATCGCTGGCACCAAGAGGGTGGAAACAGACGGGACCCTTTACCCCAGCAACCACGACAGAATAAGGCCCGTGAGCAGCACCAGCCCGCTGCTCGCAGATAAACACGGTAGGTGTTTCCTTGGGGGTGGCTTTTTCTCCCTGTTTTCTCCCATATTGCATGACTGGGGGTGGCGGGGCCTGGTGTCCTGAGGGGTGAGCTCACTGCGCTGCCGCTTGGCTCTTTTGCAGGCCCTTCAGCACCAGCAGCAAAGCCTTCAGAGCTCAACAACCTGAATTTGGTGCGAGCCTCAGCGGCGGGAGGGTCACTAAAGCAACTGAACGTGCTGCCCGAAACGTCCCCCACGCTACTGGATTTGCAGAGTGAAGGGGAGGTGAAGAGAGCTCTCCTGCCCAACGGCTGCGCGCCCAGGCCCCGCGACTCCCTTCACGAGCTGAAGCCACCCAACAGCTCGCTGGACTGAGAGGACAGGCTGCCACCTGCAAATTAACAAAACACACTATTATTTTTTTTTTTTTTTAATTTTTTTTTTTTTTTTGCACAGAGTATATAGGCTACTTACTTCTACCTCAAATCTTGAACTGATGACCTGTCAAAGGCAAACAGCTGAGGTATGAGAAACAAGCTTGTATGGGGAACACAATCCTGTTCGAGCGTCATCCGTCTGTACATAGTTTAAAACTTCCCTGAGAAGTATGAAGCGTTCAAAAGTTGTTCTTGCATATGAAGCACATAAATGCAAGGGATTATTGTGTAAAGAGAAAAGTATTTGATACAATTGTACATAAGAGTTTTCATATATAAATATATATATATATATACAAATATATATATATCTTTTACAGAGGCTATTTTAATCTTTAGTGCATGGAAAACTGAGTGAAATTTTACAATTTTGGCAATATTTGTTTTCAGTATCAGGTTGCTGTTAAACTTTGTGAGCGAAATAATTCTGGTGCCTTAAATGCATAAGCAGAACTTTTAAAAAGCCAGACTGTTCCAAAGGGATTGTCCTCTCTTCAATGGAAGTTCCTTTAAATCACGTATCAATTGGGTTACTTAGCACAAATTTCCTTCTTCCCCTTTGAAATTTATTGCACTTAACACATTTAAATAGAGATCTTCATCTGTTTGAAATGAAGTTTATAGGAAAAAAAAAACCACGCAGTGAGAAATTAACATAGCAACCTGATTTTTTTTTTTTTTTCCTGTTGGTGGAAGAACTTAAATTCCATTACTTTTCAAAACTGCATAAAAATGAGGATTTGAACCGTGACTGTGTGATGTCAGAGCAGACCACACATGAGGCACTAAATAATTCCGCCAACAGTGCGGAGCCCCACACCAACCAGACAAAAAGGCTGTCGTCATTAACGAGCACTCGTTACCAAAATAAGTGATTCAGGCAGGAAGCTGTGGGGTGGTCTCATCTATTGCCCCACTCAAACACCACGGCAGCGGGAGGCGTTACCAGCCCAGAGGGGCTGTCAGGGCACCCATCCCCTACCCCCCAACTGTGGGCATCCCCCCTTCACCTGTAAAAGGTGTGTGTAAGGACGTAACGATGCGCAGCCCGGCCCTGGTGGGAAAGAATAACCCCTACCAGGATAATGCATTTTCATATCCCCCCCCAAAAATACATCTGTTCCAGGGGGGGTGGAAACCATAGAGCTGTTTTTGAAACCATAGAGCTGTTTTGACAACAGAACTAAACTGACTCTGCTGAGCTGACAGCTGCGCCCTTAATTCATCTGATACTTACAACTTGGGTCCCTGCAACACAATAATTGTGCTTCCTCGTTGAGCACCATCACCCCCACCTGCAGCCAGACTCTTCAGGTGCAATTAGGCCAATGAATTAGGCTGCTTTGTGTAGCAATTCTAGGCTGTTGGGAAATGCACTCATTTAGAAGGGAAACTCTGTATTTAGGGTTGAAAGGACTCTGTTACCTGGGAACATCCCGAGCATTTTTATGTGGTCTTTTAAGTTCATCCATGAACGGGGGGAAAAAGAAACACCCACATTGGTCAAAACAGATCTTTTGTCACTTCTAACTTCACTCTGACGCTTTTTATTTATAGAGAGGCTGCTTTCTGTTGGTGTTGGTACCTGTGGATGGAGGACTCCCTTCCAGTTATTTGTAATTTGAGTTCTGCTAACATGAGGTTGCTGACTCTGGTGATGACTACTTTGGGGGGGGGAAGATCTATTTGGGTGGGTTTGTTACTTTTTTTTTTCCTTTAGGAGCAACTCAAATGCCAGTTATCCTGAAGCCGAGTCTGGTGGAAACCCACCTTTGCTGGTACTGCGGCTCAAAATAATTACAGAAATAAGGGCAGAAAGGTTTAATTTTTCTGTTCAGATCCACCCCTTAGAGATCTGCCCATGTGCTACCACCTCCTGGCCAACCTGACCTCCAGGAGCTACCTTGATTCAAAGCCTTACCTTGAGGAGCCACCGCCTTCGGTGGGGGAAGGTCTGTTGCCCAGTAGCCGGTGGCAAGTGTCACTGGTGTGTGTCCAGGTGAAGCTGGAGGCATAATTCCCTGTACCTGTCTGTATCCCTTCCTGACCACGGACACGTTTGCACTTTGAGACAGGTGGCGAATTATGTCGAGTGCCAACTTTATTCAAAGCAAAGGAAATGGATGTTAGAAAAACAAAAAAAGATAAACCAAGCGTGATTTTTTTCCCCTTTACCCGAGGGAAGAGCTGCAGGACTGACTCACCAGGTGGAACCGGGGACATGGGGAAAGACAGGGAATGATTGAATTGACTCATTTCTGGCAGAAATGTCATCACCATTGCAGATACAAAGCAGATTTGCCACATTTAACATTTGAAAACGACGACTCACCAGGTGGAACCGGGGACACGGGGAAGGCAGGGAATGATTGAATTGACTCATTTCTGGCAGAAATGTCATCACCATTGCAGATACAAAGCAGATTTGCCACATTTAACATTTGAAAACGATGTTTCTGAATAAAGTTAACTGCCTAATGTTATGACTTCCACTAAATATGTGAATTTGCTGCTTCTAAGAGGCAATGTGAAAGAGGAAGTATTACTTTTGTGTACAAAGTTATTTATTTATTAGAAAATTTGGTACAATGTTGTACATTGAAAAACATGTAAGATATTGAAGTGTCTAACAAACGGCATTGAAGTGTCTTTAATAAAGGTTCATTTATAATATTACAACGGTTTTGTTGAGAGTGAGCTTTTGGGAGTTTCAGTTGAAAATTAAATAAAATTCTAATCCATTGCTATCCTCTTTTCTGTCTTTCTCTGATGAAAACGCAGCCCGGCTGCCAAAATACCCGCTCCTGAAGTGAGACCCACAGCTTTAACGTGAGGTACTTACAGATCAGGAGGGATCTCTGGCAGCCTGACTCGCGGGGAGGGTGCAATCTGGGGGGCTGTATTGAAAGGTACAATAAAGAACTCATAAGAAATACATTTCTAATATATCAACGTGCTCAAGTGTTTGGTGAGTGCCTTCCCTTGGCGCTGGGAGGGAGCAGAGGGGGCGAGTGCTGTGTGGAAATACGGGAGGAAAAGGGGGCCAGGAGAGCACCAGGCTCAGCTGCAGCCCTGAACACCTCTGGCTTGCTCAAACCCCAACCCCACCCCATGTGGAAATTCCAGAGGCAGCGTTGGAGATAAACTGGAATTCTTACTTTAACTAAAAAAAAAAAAAAAAAATCTCAAGTCAGTTTCTGTATATTTAAAAAAATAAAGCATTTCCTCCTCAACATTACAACTCCGGGCACGAAGCAGATTTTCTGAGGCTACTCTGATAAGTCCCTTAACTCATGTAGGAGTTGAAATATTTTAAAAGAAAAGAAGGAGCCTTTAAGGGGCTGGTGCCTGGTCTGAGACTCAATTTTTTTTATTCCACATTATCCAAGTAATGGAGTAAAATGAATTTTTTTAAGTTTCAGTAAACGTGAAATGTCACTGAAACTCAAGGCAAACAGGCAGGAGGGGAAAGACAACACATTTTTAGGTCTTTTCCTCCCCCAGTCCTATAACTAAAAGTGTCGTTTTCAGCAGGATTAGACAAATGGGTGTGTGTAGAACAGCCCTGGCCACGGGCTCTCACCTGCCTGGTGCTGCTGTTCATTTTTTTAAGTTTCAGCAAACTTGAAATGCAATGTCACTGAAACTTAAGGCAAACAGGCAGGAGGGGAAAGACGACACATTTTTAGGTCTTTTCCTCCCCCAGTCCTATAACTAAAAGTGTCATTTTCAGCAGGGTTAGACAAATGGGTGTGTGTAGAACAGCCCTGGCCACGGGCTCTCACCTGCCTGGTGCTGCTGTTCCAGGGTGACCTTGTCCTTCCCGTGGAGATCGGGGTGCGGAGCCCGTCTGTCAGCACACGTGGAGGGGCAGAGGCACTCGGGGTCCGGGTCTCACCCCCCCCTTTGGGTTGGCTAAAACAATCTGGCTGGTTGGTTGGGTTTAGGGTTTTTTCAATAAAAAACCAAACCCAACTGGTGATGACAAAAATTGATTATGCAAATATTAAGTAAAAGAAAACCAACAACAATCCAGCATTTGGACGCAATGACTTACGAGGCACGATTATTTTCAGCTCATGTAATTAAATGCACCAACTGCAGGGCTAACCCTCTCATCATGGTTTAAGAGCTTTAACAGAAAATATAAGTTAGCTTTTTAAGACAGAGTAATAAATCTCCCTGCTCATCCATCCCCCCTAAAATTTGTTTGCTCTATATAAGCTTCAGAAAAGAGACAACCTTACAAGTGGCAGGAAGCGCTGCTACACCGTGCCGCGGGACCGGGTGGAATTAACCAGCCATTTTTGGTTGAAACCCCAAATTTTAATTGATTTTTTTTAAGAATTAATGTCCTTTGTTCTGTATGTTTTACTTGTTTGCCAATTATTTTCTAAGTTTTGGCCTCAAAGAAAAAAAATAAAAGGCTTATGACTATGTCATAGGATGACGGTGTAATAAAACATGCAGCCGTAGTGAGCCTGGCCCCTGGTTGTGCTAGGACACGCAGCCGTAGTGAGCCTGGCCCCTGGTTGTGCCCGAGCAGCAGCCTGGCCTCTGGGTGGGGGCTCAGGCTTTGTACCAGCCCCCCCAGCCCTTCACACACAAACCCGGGCTGGCACCACTTCTCCTTCACTCCAAACTCATGGAATAGTTTGGGTTGGAAGGGACCTTTAACTCCCCTGCCATGAGCAGGGACATCTTCACCTAGATCAGGTTGCTCACAGCCCCGTCCAACCTGACCTGGAGTGTTTCCAGGGATGGGGCATCTCCCACCTTTCTGGGCAACCTGGGCCAGTGTTTCACCACCATCACTGTAAAAAAATTTCTTCCTATTACATAGTCTGAAACTACCATCTTTTCATTGAAAACCATTACCCCTTGTTCTATCACAACAGGCTCTGCTAAAAAGTCTTTACCCATCTTTCCTGTAGCCCCCTTTAGGTACTGGAACAGGCTACAAGGTCTCCCTGGAGCCTTCTCTTTTCCAGGCTGAACAACCCCAACTTCCTCACCCTGTCCTCACAGCAGAGGTGCTCCAGCCCTCTGATCATTTTTGTGGCCTCTTCTGGACCCACTCCAACAGGTCCATGTCCTTCCCATGCTGGACGCAGTGCTCCAGGTGGGGTCTCACCAGAGCAGAGCAGAACCCCCTCCCTGGCCCTGCTGACTGCCTCCACCTGTGTCTTCCTAACAAGGAGAACAACCTCAATGTTAAACCAGAGCAGCCCGGGGGAGCACGTCACCACAGGCAGGACTAAAGTGTGGTGATGACCTGGAGGCACACATGTGTGATGCCACCGAGTTGATGCCAATGGCCTCGGTGCCACGACGGCTACACCAGCTGGGCTCTGACCTGTGCTCCAGCCTGACCACGGGCACTCACCACCCACAGAGTGCCAGCCCCCACCTCCTCACCCCCGACGTGTGAGGGGTCTCTCAGCCCCTGAGCACCACCAGCCTCTGACCCACCACCCCCTGCCCCAGCCCCTCTCGCCCACCGGCGGGTCCTCGGTGCCACAGCTCAGCTTTGCCCGCCTGGGCGTCCCCGTGCAAACCCCCTCCACACCTAACCATTCCCAAGAGCCACCTCACCAAGCTGCTGCTGTAAACTCGGCCCATTTCCCCCCCCTCCAGGCCCTGGTGATAATTATAATCAAGTAATTTCAAGAAGGCCTATTCCTTATACCTAGTCTGAATCTACCATCTTTTCATTGAAAACCATCACCCCTTGTTCTATCACAACAGGCCCTGCTACTTCCTATTACATAGTCTGAAACTACCATCTTTTCATTGAAAACCATTACCCCTTGTTCTATCACAACAGGCTCTGCTAAAAAGTCTTTACCCATCTTTCCTGTAGCCCCCTTTAGGTACTGGAACAGGCTACAAGGTCTCCCTGGAGCCTTCTCTTTTCCAGGCTGAACAACCCCAACTTCCTCACCCTGTCCTCACAGCAGAGGTGCTCCAGCCCTCTGATCATTTTTGTGGCCTCTTCTGGACCCACTCCAACAGGTCCATGTCCTTCCCATGCTGGACGCAGTGCTCCAGGTGGGGTCTCACCAGAGCAGAGCAGAACCCCCTCCCTGGCCCTGCTGACTGCCTCCACCTGTGTCTTCCTAACAAGGAGAACAACCTCAATGTTAAACCAGAGCAGCCCGGGGGAGCACGTCACCACAGGCAGGACTAAAGTGTGGTGATGACCTGGAGGCACACATGTGTGATGCCACCGAGTTGATGCCAATGGCCTCGGTGCCACGACGGCTACACCAGCTGGGCTCTGACCTGTGCTCCAGCCTGACCACGGGCACTCACCACCCACAGAGTGCCAGCCCCCACCTCCTCACCCCCGACGTGTGAGGGGTCTCTCAGCCCCTGAGCACCACCAGCCTCTGACCCACCACCCCCTGCCCCAGCCCCTCTCGCCCACCGGCGGGTCCTCGGTGCCACAGCTCAGCTTTGCCCGCCTGGGCGTCCCCGTGCAAACCCCCTCCACACCTAACCATTCCCAAGAGCCACCTCACCAAGCTGCTGCTGTAAACTCGGCCCATTTCCCCCCCCTCCAGGCCCTGGTGATAATTATAATCAAGTAATTTCAAGAAGGCCTTTTGGCCGAGCTCATCCCTGCACCATCTCTGGCCACCACAGCTCCTGTTTCCTAACGTGAGAGTATTGCTCTGCCTGCCAGCAGCCCCTGGAGAGCCCCCAGGATCCATCCATCCATCGGCAGGAGAACTCATGTCTCTCCCTGCCATCCCTCCTGAGCATTTCCAACCCCCCGGCTCCTTTGGCCGCTGAGGGAGGAAGACCAAAAGAAGGCAGAGCTGCACGTCTTTGCTCAAGCACAGCTGTAAAATAATACAAGCCCGTGCTTTTACTGGAGAAACGTGAGTCTAATTAATAAAGCTGCACTGGCTACCACACAGGAATGCTTGCCGAGCACCTGTAGGTATAAACAGGAATATAAACTTTCACAAATACAGCTCAAATCAGAAACAAATGGATGATTGTCTCTTACAGAGAGCTCTCCCAACCCGGAATGCTTTCGGTGCTGTTGGAGGGCAGCAGCTGTAACTCTATCGGCCCCTTCCCCGACCAGAGAAACCCTCCCCGTGTTACGAGGCAGGTGCCACTGAATTATGAAAACTCACTTTATTTCAGCCTCCCCGCTCGGCCCACGAGCTGGAGGTTTGCACAACATTTCCCCTGCAGGAGTTTCTAATAACGCCTTTCTCAGCCACCGTAATTAGCTGTTTACCCCCCAAACATTACTTTTTTGGCACGACTCTCGGGGTGACCTCACTCACTTTCCATGCAGGAAAATTTCATGTTTGGGAAATTGGATTATTGGAGGATTTACTTTTACTTTTAACAGCGCAAGGGGCTCTCAGCCGGCGAGCAGCTGCTCCGCAGGGCGAGGGGCGGCGGGAGGAAGGCTGCGTCCCCGGCCGGACTCCTCCTCCTCCAGCTCAGTGACTTCTCCAGCTCTTCGGTGGCCACCGGTGGGACCGGGTCAGAGCAGCAGCTGGCGAGTCTTCTCGTATGTCCCCAGGAAGATGAAGCCTCCCAGGCTGATGGCTGCCATCCGTGGGACCACACCTGCGAACAAGCTGGAGGGGAAGGGAAGGCGGTGTCAGAGGAGGAGCGGATGCTGCAGGACCGGCTGCAGGGGCTTCGCAAAACAAAGCCAAGAAAAAGTCTCTTTTGTTGGTTTCTTAAATCCCGCCCTGCTCCTCACCGAAGGAACCTGTCTGGGCTTCCTAGAAAAGTATTCCCAAACCTGGTGATTTTTAAACCCTCTCCACACTCCTCGGGTGCAGGTGGCTATGGAAAGAGGAGCTCAGACACATCCCCACACAGGGCTGCAGAGAGATGGGAAGGGTCCCCTCCTCCACCACCCCCATCCAGCTTCAGCAGAGGGACCCCTCTCTCTGACAGGAGCTCTCCCCTTGCAGGGACAGCCCAGTAACATCCAAGGGGGACCAGCAGGGAGGGAGCAGGAATGGCTGTGGGTTCAGCTGCCATGATTTTTAGGTGCCTGATGCTAATAGTTGTTGGAAGTTAACAGGAAACTCGTGCAAAGCCAATTGTTAGACACATCTAAGCTCATAGTTGGTTTAACAACTTCAGAATAGGCCAGTGTATCCTCCCAGCAGATTACAGGCTTCCTTAGTTGCAAGCAAGGATTAAACATCAGGCTGGAATCTGTCTGGCATCCCCCCACTGATCTATCTCCTGCATGACGGGAGCCCTTCGCAGCAGGTTCTGGCTCAGCTCTGCGGGGATGCTGCTCCCAGCTTTTCCCGAATCCTGCACAGTCCTCTGCTAGGACTGTGCCCACAGTGAGACAAGGCATAATTCCTGGTGAGACTGGGCTTTCCTGAGATGCCCACACCCCCAGGGATGCTCAGGAGCTGCTCCCTGCCTGCGCCCGGCTGCGCTGGGGAAACCTCCGGCTGCAGTAACTCTGGTTTTGGTTGTAATGAGCTTTGCTAGGCAGCCTGGAGCACACAGGCAGATGGAAACATTTTATGGCTTTACTAGACAGCAATTGGGTCTATTACCATAATGACAGCTTTAAAACAGAGTAATTTGTACAAGGCATGTACGGACAGAGCGCTGATAGGGCAAACCCTAGGCTGCAGCATCGCTCTGGAAACACACACCATCCTCCTCCTGCCCAATCAGGCAGCCGCGGCCGGCGCTCGGTTCCACACCAGCCCACTCGAGACACGGCTGTTACACAAACAGGGGCAGATAACTCAGTTACACACAAGCTGCATCCCTGGCAACCTCTATCACTAACCATCACTTCCAAGAATCCTGGCCCTGCTCCCCGCCGTTTCCCTTTCCCACCTGCCACCCCACGGGCTCTCCATCCACACTTCCCACCCTGGGCTCGTTCCTGTGGGAGAGCAGAGCTGAACGGGGCTGCCCTGAACCCAGAGAGCCGAGCTCTGCTGGTCCCCACAGGCCACACCTGCCCTCAGCAGCACATGAGATAAATTGAGGGTTTTTTTTTTTCCTGCTGGCCCCATCAGAAACCCCTCTGGAGGGCACAGATCCGGTGTCTAGTTGTACTTGCTACCTGGTTATACGGATTTCACCTGGCATCCTACCCCTCCACTCTCCCTTGTGCTTAAGCAACTGAATTTCACTGAATTTCACTGCATTTTAGAGTTGGAAGGGACCATAGAGATCATCTAAGTCCAACTCCCCTGCTGAAGCAGGATTGCCTAGAGCTAGAGCATGTTACTCAGGACTGCATCCAGGCGGGTCTTGAAAATCTCCAAAGGGGACTCCATGACCTCCCTGGGCAGCCTGTTCCAGGGCTCTGTCACCCTCACCGTGAAGAAGTTTCTCCTCATATTTGAGTGGAACCTCTTATGTTCCAACTTGTGCCCGTTGCCCCTCGTCCTCTCCCAGTTACCAATGGGATCCAGCACCACATATCAGTGACTGGCAAAGACCAAACACAAGCTTTTGGGTGCTCTCCATGCGAGGAACAGCCCCACAGGAGTCACAAATCTGGGATTCAGGTCTAAATCCCAGGGCGAGACCCTGCTGCAGGTGTTCAACCTGCCCCCTGTGCCCTCCCCAGCCCTGTGCATCCCCTCCAGGGTGCAGCTCTTCATTTCAGGGTTCCCAGCCCAGCAATACACCTAGTCCCACCATCTCAGTAGCACAGGTGACATTTTTGGGTGACAACTCAGCAACTCAAAGCAAATTCTTTCTCAACAGATACTAACCAGGACCCCTGAAGTCACCCTTCAGCACTGCTGTGCTTGGATGTGGCAGCGCTGGGAATGGCACTGTGTGCTCAGCCACAGAACCTCCATATTATGCTCAGGACCAAAGAGGTGACCACGCCAAGAAAAACCACCGCATTTATCTGACTACAGCTTTGCACTGAGCTCACTCCTGCAGGCAGCTTGTGCTCCACAAAGCAGCAAGCCCTGGGGACAGGGGCTGCTCTCACCACTCGTATCAGTGAGATAGGAAAGCAATGATTAGTGCCCACCATGCCACGTCCACCCCAGCCTGGAAGCTCATCCAAGGAACGGGATGCTCGGTGCAAACTGCCAGCTCTGTCCTCATCTACACACAAGCTGGGAAAAGCCATCTCACCAGATTTATCAGTTAAATAACTCTTGTCTTCCTCACCAATGAGTTGTGAATATCCATCCATGGCCTTCAAACGCCACCACCTCCTTGCACGGAAAGCAGTTGGACAAGACATAAACCTGTGAATGGTTTTGTCTATGCCACTGGCAAGAGCAAAGAGGCACATGGATGGGCTCATCCCATCCCTATCCTACCTCCTGCCACAGGCCGGGCTCTCCCCGGACAGAAAGGGATGTGAAATTCCTTGGCACGATGCAGGGGGATTTACTAGGTGCCGACCAGGAAGCTGGGCCCTGCTCTCTGGTTTTAATAAGGTGGCAATAAGCAATGCGTCTTTCTGCCCTCAGAATTCCTCCTCTTCAAGTACAAGATTTATTAGAGGAGCCGTAAATCATTTCATGTTACAACTAGCCAAAAAAGCCCGACATTTTTATTGTTTTTGATTAATAGATTTATAATTGGCAGCAGGCATGGCAGCCTCTGCGTTTATTTTTCCCAAGACTTTCTTCCTTTTCCTCGCAGCTGACGCAGCTTGGACTCCTTTAACATGTTACTTTTTCTCCAGATTGCTTATTGTTTTGATTTCAATTGAATTGTGTTCCCTTTGGTCCTAGTCCACGGGTACTATCTTTAGGCAGAGTTTAATTTTGGGTTGTTTAGAAAAGGGCACCGCTGAAACACCCCGAAAAGAACACAAACACACATTTTTATTTTCTGCTGTTGGCTGGGGAAAGGGGGAGGTTTCCCCAGCCAAATCCATGCCTCTTCACACCCTTCAGAGCTCAACTTCCACCAGCAGCAGACGTGGCCTCACTTCTCCCAGTCCTTTTCAAAATACACCCCAGAGTCCACCAAGCTCTGCAGGACCCAAAACTCATCCCCCCCCCAGGTCACCTCATCATCTCAAAGAGCGAACCTGAGACAACCGATCTCTGAGTGCTGCCGGGGGGCACAGCTGGACTCCTTCCTGGAATCGGTGTTCAGGAACTTCCTGCAATTTGTTTTGAATTATTTCCCACATGTGTAGAAGGAGGATTGAACTTTTATTAGTTGTGCGGGCAGAGATCAGATGTTAAGAGAAAACTTATCTCCCGCGAAGCTGCGATGCGCTCGCTGCTGCGAGCAACGGGTTACAAATGCTCAAACAGCACCCTGAAAGCATTGGCCACATCAAGAGGATTAAAAACTGTTGAGAAATCACAGTGAAAAGTCTCAAGTAAAGCTTCCAAAAACCTCTGCTTCTCTTCCAGGCCAAAGGCAGGTGGGACACAAGCCCTACTGAAGGAAGCACAGACTGAAGGAGCTGTTTAAGACACACGTTCACTACGAGTGGCCAATGACGGGAGTGACTCACACACTCAAAGAGGGCAAGGTGGTGTAAATGAAGCAGGTGTCTGCAAAAATCAATAATAATTTATAAGCCTATAACACCTCAAAATAGTCTACAAATGCTAGTAGAGGACTTTTTGTTCACAACACCGCTCCAATGTCAGAAAAGCAATTCTGCATCTCAGGAATGGGTAAAGTGAGGCACTCAAGAGACTGGAGAGACATCACCCCAGACTTCCCTGACCAGTCAGCATAAAGCCCAGACACGTCTACACCTCGGTCACAGGAGGAAAGCAGCCAGGGAGCTTCTCTGTGGCTCCTCAGAATCACTCTTTGCACTCAAGCCTGTCTCAAAAAACTTATATTTTTGCAACAAGTGCCCCACTGGAGAAATCCAAGTAGGCTGTCTGTGCTCAAGCCCAGACCTGACAGGAGGCTCAAAGGACAAATCAGGGAGCACAGAGCTCCCTTCCCTCTGCTTCAGCTCTCCCTGCTGCCAGCACCACACTGGCATCACGCGCACCCATCACGCTTCACAGTAAGAACAGTGAGTAGAAAGCAACAAAGGAGACCTTGCTGGTGTTCTCCAATCAGTAGGAAATTGCCAGGAGGAAAGAGTGTCCATAAGGGACACGTGGCTCCTGCCTTGGCCTTCCCTGACATCTCAGGAGGGATGATTCACACACCTCAAGATCAATCTGTGGCACTCACTGCCACAAGACAATGTGTATACCCAAAAGTTCAAACGGAAACAAAACACAAATGCACACATTCATGGAGAAAAGTCCATTAAACACAAACCCACCTTGCCTCGGACTGGAGCTAAGCTTAGAGATTGCACCATGGATAAATCATGCCCCGTTTCCGTGCTCTTCCCTGGACATTGCTCAGAGTCAGTTCTAATGCGAGGACACTAGATGTACCTGGAGGGACCTCCTTGATCCTTGCTACCTGAGAGCTGCTCCCTGGCCACGTGTACAGCAATTAAAAGTATCTTCTGTATGACAGGTTTTAAATACAAGCAGCCATCCCATCCTCTCCCACACCCAGAGACACAACACATGAGATGTGCTTCTGCAGCACGTCCTTACCCCGACAGGCCTTGTGTCCTCCAGATGCTACCGAGGGCGGCCAGAACATTCCCTCTAGCGTTGCTGGAACCAGCCTGCACCACAGAAAGAGAGAGATTGGAAACTGTTCACAGAGAAGTTTAGTTATTTACTGAGCTCCTACCCCTGGTTAGTGCTACTTTGCAGCAATTACAGGCACCCTGACGACCTCCTTAGCCCAGGCACAGGCAAAAGCTCCTGTTTCCAGGAATAAGGCAAAGGGCAGACAGGGAAACTGAGGCACGGAAGGAAATGATCCCTCCAAGGTCACAGAATGGGTTAGTTCAGAACTGGGTATCCAGTCCCTTCTGTGTTACACTCAACTCCACATCCAGCAGCTGACACTGGAGTAAGAATTTAATAAAAACACACTCTCAAAGCACCAACAGGCGACTTTGCTGTTCACTGCAAGAAGATTTACTTAAAAAACACACCAGCCGTGCACTGCACGTGAAAATTGCCTTGAGAGCAGAACAGAGGACAAGCAGCAGGACTACAGACAATTAAATTACACGTGTGATCTAGTTAGTGAGAGATGACTAATAGGAAGATGCTGTTGGAATGGTCTCAGAACATCCCAAAGCACCTCCATTCCCTCACCAACGCTGACCCGGCTGCTCGGCGCAGCAGCAGACAGAAATGAAACCCAGCTCTTGCAGTTTTATCACCCACTTTATCCCAAGTCAAAGGAGGTGCAGCAGGTACAGCACCCAGCAACGAGAGAGAACACAACACAGCAACATGGGGAGCGCAGATGCGCGTGACTCGGCTGGGGAGGTGCGTGTCATCAACAAGAAACACCCCCCGTACGGAGGGACATGAGCAAGAGGGTAAAAAGCATCCACAGAAACTCCAGGATGCCTGACCTTTGCCAACACAACAGCTCTTTTCAGGGCAGGGAAAGGCCAAGGGCTTTTAGCTACGCGGCTGCTGGGCTCTGCTCTGGGGTCAGCAAGAAGATGACGGGAACACTAGACTTCCTAGCAATTTAACTACTTACTGAACTTACTGATGTTATAAGCCATTTTCCTTCTGCTCTGGATGGCAGATGTAAGCCATCATGATCTCTGTGCCTTAAGATTTTAGGACAGAAAATCCAGTGCCAAGCCCTCCTCAGGAAAGACACACACACACACACACACTCTCAAGCCCAACCATTAGCAAAAAATCAGAGGAACAAATCCCTGATGGGAAGTTTAACTTTGGGCATCTGACTTTGTGAGGATTTTCTCCTAAAGACACTGCATGAGACTCTGGAAGTCTCGCACAAGCACAGGCCCTTCTCTGCTCCTTTGGGGAAGGACCAGGAGAGCAATACAAGGAAAGGAACTCAACAATTTCATTAGTTCTGCATGCGGTACCTCACCCTGCCTTTGACGACAAGAGCAGAAATCATTATTAATAGGTGCTGGATTTCATTCTGTAATGACCATCCAGAAACTCTGGAAGTACCCAAGGCGTTCACCTGCGTGTCTGCTGGCCTCCTTCCCTCTTACCTTTGCCAACATAATTCTCGTCTTCGCTACATCGAGAGGTGTGGTAACTGCAGCTGCAAATCCACCTGAGCAAATTAAAACACCAAACACAAGTGAGACATTGTTGGTTGAATAGGAATGCCACACTGCCTATAATTCCCATGGCTGTGGTCAACACTGCTCCATTATGAATGCCTACAGCGTGTTTCCTCACGTCAGAGTCCAGGTACGTTTGCTGAAGGTCTGTACACAGAGTGTTTTATTCCTGTGTGTTGACTTAAGGAAAATAGCTCTATATTAGTTAACTGTAAATCCAAACATCCCCACTGAGATTACTGTCCTTTTCTTTTGTATATATGCGAACACGTGGAGGTCGTAAGGATAATGGATTCCACTTCGAACACCTACAGGCAAGTTTGAAAGGAAGAACCTGCTTACTCATTTGCAGAGATTAGAAAATAAGCTCATCACACAGTGCTCTGCCTTGAGAATTAAAGCCTGAACATTCCAAGGGTAGAAAGATAGAGAGGAAAGATGCTCTGCATCTGAAACACACATGCTTCAGGGGCAAATCTATCCACAAGACACAGGCAGACTGGATCTGGACTTCACCTTTTAGACATGGAACTCTCTTCCAAGGAAAAAAGACAAGCCAGTGTTTGGGATGGAGCTCACCTCCAACAAATGCAATCAGCTCCGTTTTGGATAACAACAACGTGAATCTGCCCGAGGGTCTTTACAGAAATTGTCAGAACTCTGCTGCCACAAGTGCCATCTTCCCCTCAAAGGCACTTTTACTTTCTCTAATCACTCCCAAACCTCACCCTTGGAGCTCATTACTTTCACTTGGAGCGGCCAGCTCAGCTGTGGCTTTCCTCTTGAAAGCCAGAAATCTTCAGCTAATCCATCTGCATGTCTCACCCACAAACGTGTGTGTCTCTGTCTCCATATTTTAACCCCGTGGCTACAGCCTGGCCTCTTGGTCTATCTAGGGACCAGCTTTGCTTTTTTTTCTCCCAGGATCTTATTCCCTTTGCCTTATTTCCCCATCCTAAAATTAATTCCAATCTCTTTCTCCCTTCTCTGTTCACAATATTCCAAGCAAAGCAGTTCATGGTGAGAAAGAGCCAAAGCGAAGGAAACTTTTAAAATGCAGGAGCAGCCCAGCAATAAGTGAAGAAAGAAAAGGGAAGAAAGGGTGGAAGAAATGAGAGAGAGACTTGTTCTGAAATCCCTCTTCCTTCTTTCTCCTGTTTCTTTTTTTTCCTCTGGAGCTTGAATAAATCCTGTATCTGCTACAGCAAGGAACAAAGTGACTCCAAAGACTGAAGCCTACACAGTACCCAGGGAATAAGCTAAAAATAATCTATTTTCTGTTCCAAGTTTTATGGAATGTAGAAAAATTGATCTCTCTTTTCTTGGGATGGGAGAGGGGAAAAGAATTTCTTCTAAAATCTGTAAAGTAATGAAAAAATGCATCTTCCCTGCTGGCTAGAGTTTTTACCTGCATCTCTCTCAACCCTATTAAACATATGCTTTAACATATTAAAACCCTGCTCTATGTCAGAAGGGAGACTGGGCCAGCTGGCACCCTACATTGACTTCTTACAAGTTAATTAAGGAATGTCCCATGGCAGTTCAGGAGATGCAGTAAGGCACAAGTCCAGTCCCCTGGATCTCAAACATGAACATGGGCAAGCCCAGTTAGCCAGCAGCCCAAAACGCCTGCTTTAGGAGCTTCTGCTCATGTAAGGTTGGACCATCCAGTTCTCTCAGAAGCTTCCTAGCAGTAATACCTCACTAAAAAGCAGAAAAATGGGTTGTATTCAAGAAGCCAAAGCAGAAACTATGAGCAAGTTAAACTAAATTCCAGCCCATTCTTGGACCTTCCTTAAGGTCAAAAATCTTTTTATTGTGAGCCAGTTTTTGAGTAAGTGACCCAAAGGCTTTGAGAGAATGGTCTGGATAGAAACTTTGGTACTCATGTCAGTGATGTATTTTTAGAACACTAAAAATAATCTGCATGGAAAATAGTGGCTTTACAAGTCTGGATGTAGAAGTCCTTTGCCCACAGACCAAGATAAAATTAAACAGTGAACCACATGGCTGTCAGGCCTGTATCGAGCAAAAAATCTCCACGCATCACTCAGCTATAGAGTTGACAGTAACACTTTAGCCAGACTAATTTATTTCCCTTATCAGAGCCCGGTAATTTTTTTATGCATTTGCTCCTAACAGTTTTTTACTGGCAGAAGCTTCAATCTCAGCTGATAGAGTGATTAGCACAAACATAATTTATCCTGATATGGTGTTCGCAAAGTCTTATCTAAAAGGTTTAATCAAGGCTGATTGGTTTTCATTTTTTCCCCAGCAAACATCTGGATCTTTCAGACTCTTTTGTTATTAACATTTCAATGTTTCTTTTTCCATCACTGGGAAGTATTTGGTACAGATTTACCAATCAATTTAGAATGACAACAGCAACAATAAAATGTTTCATAAGCACAACAAGCAGCAGGATAGCGACTAAATTAAATGCAAGTTTGTATGTGCTTGACAAAAACACAAGATTAAGGCTAGCATTTGTTGGGAACTACATTTTATTGAAGGCACCGAGTCTGACAAAATGAATTTGCTCCAGCCTTAACCCTAAACGCCTAAGGTAATTTTAGAGTGACCTCTTCAACACAGGTATCCAAGAAGAGGCTACTTCGCTAGCGAAGTCCTGCTCAGTCCCACCTACTCTAGGCAAAGGAAAGATGACTGTTTCCAATCATCAGATTAATACAACAGACACAAACGAGTACAGCCAAAGTCTGCTCATTCAAAATAGGAGGGCTGTGCACTGCTCTGACACACAGTAAAGCGCAACAGATGTTTAAACTGCTCCTTTAGTCTATTCCTGCTGTCACTGACTTCAAGAGCTGCCACATAAGGCTGGAGTCTGATCTAGACAGCAACCAAGAAAAGCAGGTATTTAAACATCAGGTGGGCAAGAAAGACTCATCCAGCCTACACTCCTAATCATTCCGGCTTCTCTTCAGAGCTGGAAAAGAGAAAAAGGCACCTTTGCAGGCAGTCTGTTCCCAGCCAGACTCACCAACTCATTCCTGGAGGTGGCTCCTTTCTCCCTGGCCCTAGAAAGATCTGGTGATGCCGTGGGCTCAGCAAGTAGGCAAAAAGATGGATTTGCACATAGGAGAAGGCTTGTTAATACTTCTAGCAGAGTGACAGGCTCCTCTACTGGGAAAATTAAACGTCACACACTAGTGGAAAATTCATCACCTGTCTCCCAAGAATTGACAATGGGCACTGTATATTCACACGTCAGCTAAGCAGCTAAACTTTACCAAGCACAGGGTGTTAAACAGAAAATCCCTCCACTACTCACACTTTCACAGTGACCAGCTCTTGATGGAAGTGCTAGAGACAAACTTCCACAGAGAGCGATTTACCTTTATTTGCCAATAAGAATAAAAAGTCTTGAAGACTTAAGATATTCCCCTAGGTACCTGCTGGCATTTCCTACCCTTTTTTGGTTGACATATGCAAATAAAAATTGAGAAGCACCAGAACAGAGTGAAATATTTCACCTGAGAATGATATATAACCCGGTGTCCTCGCAGTAAGGAGGCTGCCTGAAGAATTTGCTGCCATAGGAAGATGTTTCACAGGTTCTTTGGCACACTCCTCAAATAAGATCCTATGAAGGGAGGAAGATAAGTTCTTCTTCAGTCCCCTTATCTTTATTTTCTGTACCATTTTAACTTCTCCTCACCCTTTCTAAAGGGTCCAGGGAACCCTTCTGTCCATCACAGGGGCTCCTCCTTGTTCTGTGTTTCTGTCATCTGGCCAGATCCCTGGCACCCTCTTCTGCAACACCAGCCTAGTTCAGTAGGTCAAGCTCGTTTCAAGAGATAAGAGCTTGTGCTTGACTGATGTCCTTGTTTGAATTACCCCACCTTAGGAAAAGAAAAAAAATCCAGGTTGAGCAGTATTATTGCCTGTCTTTACTACTATTTTCTGTACTGACATCTGAATATTACCCAGGACTGATTCAGGATTGAATCCCAAATCTGGGTTGAAAATCTGAATTGCTCAGGTCCAACACTAAACCTCATGGCATTCTCTCACTCTGACTGATTTCCAAGATCAAAACCAGACTTTTTCAGAACTCTCCAATCAATCAGTTCTGACTTGAACTTTTATTTTATTGATAGTATGTTAATTTTTTTCTAAGGGGAAGTTTGTTCTGGTCCTTTATCGCTGAGGAAACAACACTTGCCAACGGTAGAGCAAGGTGATCCAAGAACCTCTTTGGATTTCAGCAGAAATACCAAGAGGCAAAGCACTGCTCCTCCAGCCATTTCAGGGTTAGAAGCCTGGTCCAAGCAGACACTGCAGGGAAATCTTGAGAACTACTCAAAAATTTATTCAGAGCTATAGAGTTAAAGAGGCTTTTAGACGCAGTGTGTAATCTTGTCAGAGCCGATTAGATCAAAACAAAAGTGATGGGAAGTCTTCCCTGTTAATGTGCAAAAAGCTCTCGTTAGTGCTTTATTATTCACTAGCCTTGCACCTCCATTCTCAGTGACTATGTCACCACAGAGCATTAATTATTAATGTTAAGCCACACTTTTTTGACAGTAGGGAGAAAGAAGGCGTCTTTAACGGAGGCAATTTTCAATCACATTAAATGGACACTCAGGTTCTTTGACAAGCTGGAGCTGCCTTGCTGCTCCAGGGCAGCACTTTGCCTTCCCAACAGCTAATACCCCACGGCAGGATTTCCTTGCCACTGGCCCAGCTCCACAGAGGACAGGGCTGGGCTCCAGCAGTTCAGTCAAGCAGCCTAAGCCCAGAGAAGACTCCAGCATGGAGTGCAACCACAACCATGCCTGGCCTGCCCACAGCACGGGGACATGTTTCCCTCCTCTGCCTCCAGCCTGCCAAAGCCTGTGCCCAAATCTGGGCTGGTGTCCAAACAGCTCAGACATGAGGCAAGGTTTGGTTCAAATGCAACCTCAGGCTTAAATTATCATGTAGATCTAACCCTCGGGTTCCTCCCCACCGGCTGCTCAGGTATCGCCTTCTCTCACCCCCGACTGCTCCAAACATCTCCCCTAGTTAAGGCACCAGAGATGACGATAAAGCTGGACAAGGCCTCCAGGGATTAAATTATTAACAGATGAGACAGAGAGGATTCCAAATCTCTGATATTCATGCTCATGCCTACTGCGTTTCTATAAAAAGCTCGTGGATTGCATACATACATCTTACACATGTGTGCTCCACGAGGAAGAGTCAGGCCTCTCACAGCACTTTGGCTGAAACCGCTGCCATTTCACAGGCACTGGGGATGGAACTCAATATATTGCTGCTCTTTGTTCTGTCCTCGCCAAATAATCAATTATGATTTAGCTAGGAACTAACCAGCGCACTTTTTTTTTTGTTTTGGGGTGGAAAGAAAAGGATAAAGAGTTTGGTCTAGTTGTTCTTCCCTCGTTTGAAGCTGTATGTCGGTAGTTAATAATTTTTAACCATGGCATCCATTCTTCAGAAAGCATGGAATTATTTTTCCACTGCCTCCACTCAGCAAGAAGGCTAAATATTTTCAGTGAAACAGAATGGATGTGGTACCAGATTAGATCAAGACAGGGCCTGCCTGTTACATGTCTGCAGGGCGAAGCAAGAGACAGAAAAGGAAGGTTCTGATCCAAAGAGAATTGAACATCGTGGGTTTTGAAGCAGGTCCTCAAAGGACACATGAGAAAGGAAGTTCAAAATACTGCTGATGAAAAGGAAAAAATAGGGAAACAAGGGAACAGAGAAGGAAAACCAAACTGGAGGAAGTGAAGCTGGAAGGATAACCCAGAGAATATTTATCATCACCAATTACAACATGATCTACAAAACAGGACTGCAGCTCTGCAAAAGTTTGTGCTTGGGGAACAGAGCCAATGAAGACAGCGAGGCTGAACTGCCCCATCTACCACCACCATGGAAGTTCCTCTGCTGCTCCAGGATGTGGTGTCTCCTCCAGCACAAAGCATTAGGTCTTCCCAGCCTCTGCCAAAGGACAGTGAAGCGTCACGCACAACCGTGCCTCTGGAAGCTCCTTCTGCAATATTTCTACTAGAAAGCGAGCAGATGCTACCAAACATCCATCAGATTGTAGCAAATCCAAGCACAACTGGTCAGAAACAAGACATACAGAGAAGGAAGTGGAAGCACTGGGCTAGATTTCCAATGAGGCACCAAATTGGACTTCAGGAAATTACTCTGCGAGGCCTTGGGTAAATCAGATAACCTCTCCAGCTTTCTGAACGTGCCTGAACACAGTTTTTGTATCTATCTGACTGTAAAGAAATCAAGAGAGCTAAATTAATGATCCTATATCGCACCTGCAGAGGTACAGATTGCATTTTAAAGCATTTTTAGTCTGATTGTTCATTTTTGTTTTGAAACAAAACAAGCTGATTCAATCACTCTGATTTTGTTTGCACTGATTTGATGAAGTCAGTGTAAAATCCAACAGTAGACCCAGTTTTAAGCAGAATAAAACTCCCTTCCCATCACATAAACACAGAAAATACAGCTGGACAAGACCACAAGAGATCATCCAAAATATCCCCTCTTCCCCAAAATGGAATCAATTCTACCTAAACCATTCCCTCACTGCTGACATGCCTGTGTGCAGCTACAGCCACCCTCCCTTCTTTCAGTCATGGAGTTACAGCGCCCATCAAAACGAAGCCTCAGTCTCTGCTGGAATTCTGCTGCTATTAATACTTCAATTCCCCTAACAGAGCTTATTTTGAAAAAATTACATGCAATGTAATGGTTCTGAATTTGTAAGTCATCAAAGAACAAGCTTTGCTTTTGATAATCTCTATTTCAAGAAATGCTATAATTTCTCTTTAAACAGGATTTATTTTTTCCACATCTTCTGTTACTGGTTTGGAATCTCAAAATGTATTTTAGCTCCTTGGGGAAAAGCTCTGGCTATCCATCTCTTAACTACTAATCTGTTTTTTCTATTAAGACAGTTGAGTCTCTCCTCCCTCAAACTTGTCAGCTATACTGATGAGTCATTAATTGATTTCTTTTTTCTTTTTTCTTTTTTTTTTTTTTTAAACCAACTACAAGTAGGCTAAAATCAAGCAAGAAGCCTACTGAAGAATTCAATTAACTTCTGCCTTGTTTGGTAATAAATAGTGCAGTATTGTATTCTGCCACTCTTCATTCTTGTTCTAGCGTCTGGAGATTGCCCAGATGTTTCGTCCTCCGTGGGGTTTTGGGGTTTTTTTTTGCTGCGGAAGGCTTTTGCCTCCGGGCTGTGCAGCACTAGCCTCTGCTCTCCTGACTCCAGTTAATCTACATGGCTGTCAGAGCTGTCACATGAATGGTGAATCATGGCCTCTCGCTGCAATCACTTCAACCCCTGGGGAAGTGCTCCGAGCAGACAGCTGCACAAACCCCCACCCAAGCAAAGTTTCTCCTGGATGAGGATTTTACAAATCAACTTGGAAATAATCGCAAAGCCTGACTGACAGGCCCCTGGTTTTTAAATAACAGAAATTTGTCAAAAACAAATTGGTTGTCTTTCAAACAGACACCCTGTTTGAGTCGTCTGGTTTTTTCCTTCTCTTTCCTTTGCTGACTTTCCTATTTCCAAACAACAACTGGATCCGTTTTCTTCTAAACAAACTTGAATTACAAAGGAATGTTGTTCTGCTATACTTAATAGATTTGCACATTTTTCCCTTTCTTCTTTAGTCTTTCCCAGTATAACATATAATCCTTTGCACCTGCAAAAGCTCCACAGACTGCTGACTGCCAAGAATCCACCACGTGACCCTGCTTCCATGACCAGAGATCCTGTGTTTAAAGAGAAAGGAAAATAAAAAGTTATTAAATGTTTGAATCTATCTGATCCCCATGTGAGTTAACTCCGAGGATGGGAACTTAAGTGAAAAGCTATTTTTGTGGCATTTTTCAGTGATGTAATAAGTGATTTTTCCCAAGGAACTTGTGTACTTGAACGAGCAGATGGAGTGAGAAAGATGTCTGGAACTGAGGAGGGCTTGAAGCAAATTGCTTTCAGGGATTTCATATGTATGTATTTAAGCCTGTGGCCATGCAACTTTGCAAATATTTGGTGAATTTATTTTCTTTTTGGCAGATAAAACAGTGCAAAGCAAAACACTGAGCTGGGGAACGGCATGCAAGAACCAATATCAGTTCAGCCCAGATGTACCACACACTCCCATTTAAAATGAAGTCCCCAGCACAGCGAGACAGAAGTCCTCTTTGCCCCCTGACATTTCTCAAACCAATCCTTCCCCTCGTGCTCCCCAAAAAACCCCATCGTTAAGAAAGCACTCTTATCACTCCCATTATATCCCAAAGCAGGTGTGTCTCTGTTTTTCACTTGGCGCCATTAGGGACCACACACCCTTCTCCTCTCCACTGCTCCCACACACCATGCTCCAATCCATCAACTCACGGCATCATTTAAACATGCACATTTAAAAACACCAACAAGAACAGTGCCTTCTTTAAAACACTCATCAAGAATCACATCACACAGTTTGACGAGTCCAATCGGTATCAGCAACAAAGGCCAGTGAGTGCTGGGATGGTTTTTATGAAGCCAGCTACGGTCACTTTGTTCTCTCCTCCGTGGAGGAGCCCAATCTCCTGCCCAATCACCCCGTTCCCATCTCCTGAAATGCTTAACGTTGGAAGTTCTCTGGAGGAGAGGTTTCTGGTTGATGATGTGAGGATCAGCGCTGAGCCAAAAGGGATGGGATCCATGGTCCTTCCGAGTGGTAGTATCTCATTCTTTTTAAAGCCGTATTACTTCTATACTGTAAAATTTTCTTAAAAGCAATCCAATAGCTGGGCTGGGCTGAGCTCCTGCTCTCGAGCTCCTGCTCTGTGATACAGCCACTTTCCACTGGGGCAGGGAGAGAACTCGCTTCCCTCATTTGCTGACTCTTCATTTAACACACAGTCCTTGCGACTCGCTTCTTCCAACTTGGCTGGTGGTTATATTTCAGTTGAATGTTTTAAAAATCAAACTGTTCGAGCAACAATGGCCAGCCACAATGTTGTTTGGTATCCTGCCATAGCTAAATAGCTGCAGCTCTGCTGTACGAAAGCACTAAAGGGATTTCAGTCTCTTTAATGCTAGCCATTCTTTTCCTGGTGTTTTGAGTATGGGTTTCTATTCTGCTGTCACCCACAGCAGAAACTGATTTTCATCTCATAAATAAATAAATAGGGATTCATAATTCTTCAAACCCATAAGATGCTCTTCTGGAATAACTTACACTCTTTGGCCACACAGTTTTCTTGCAACTCAGTCTTGCTGGATGAAGGACATGCCTCCTAAGACAAAAGACACTACCTTCCAAAGCATCTACAGACTGTCAAAGCATAAACTCCACCTTCAAAACCCACTTTCAAAACACTTCAGGTGCTTAAGAACCCTCAAACTGAAAGTCAGGGTTCAGAAACTGAACTGCTAGAGCCATCTGATAAAACCAAAATTACGGTATTTTTTCATTAAACGTTCTCCAAACGTCTATACATCTACAACTAAACCCAAGAACTCAGAACAGTTACTCCTGTCATGCAAAAAAGCACCATGGAAGGTCTGCTGGAGGACTAGGAGAAAAATCAGCACATTAATACAGACATTCATGGCTTTGCCAGAAGCGCCGCCTATTCTCAGTCACGATGGGGTTTTATGTTAATGGCATTGTCCATAGAAGTAGGAAAAGGTCATTTTCATTTCTTGGCATGAAGCTCTGAAATCTAGTTTCTGATAAAGCCTGGCTTCCCAGTACAGCTCTGCACAAAGAGCCTTTGCCAAGCAAGGCAAACGGTGATGAATTCCCATCCATTATGCCTGCAAATTGACAACAGGTATTTGCAGCAGTCATGCAATACGGAAAATTGTTTAGAAGGGTGGAGCCAGGAACAGTTCAATTAAATTAGGGGAAAGGAGATTTGAGGCTGGAGAACAGGAAGAAAATTCCCCAACAGTGAGGTCTACTGAACAGTGGAGCCAGCCTCCCCAGGGAGGAGAGGAAAGCCCTCTCCTTTGAGTCATTTAAAAATAGACTGGAGAAGGCACTCAAGACTGTACTGTGGGGAATAATCCTGCGTTGGCAAGGGCAGGATGAGATGACTTCATGCATTTCTTTCCATCTCTGGTTTCAGTGATTCACCCAGAGCTCCAAACCTGAACATGCAGAAGAGCAAGAGAAAAGCAGGGCCTGAGGACATCATCTCAGAGGATGCCAGGAGGAACAAGTGTCCCAGGGCCAAGAGGACCAGCAGGACTCTGGTCCAAATTCTTTCTAACCACAGTCGTGCTGTGGGCCAAGCTGATGTGCTGAAGGTCACACATGTTTTCTCTCATAGCCCACTGGCCCACTAATTGACAGGGCTTCGCAGTAAATTGGGCTTGTAAGTTCTTCAAAGCACTTGCCTTTGTGTTGCACCGAGCATGGTTTTAATATTACTAACACAGGGCAAAGCACAGAAGTTATTTGAGGCATGTAGATCACTGTAAAACTGGAAAGAAATACAGGATTCATATACATATCTCCCCAAAACACCGACTTTGGACAGAATCACTGGCTATTGGCAGTGACACAGTGCCTAGATTGCACTCTGCCATCCTAGCTGTACAAATTTGAAGGAACCCTCCTTCAGGCACCTCCACTCCTGGGAATAACAGCGAGAGCTCAGGTCATGCAGAAGATGAGTGTCAGAGGCAGCTCAGAGCCCATGGGTCACAGCTCCCTGCCCTGTTTGGAGGCTCTGAGCAGGAATGCCCGTGTCATGCCTGCAGAAGCCCTGCAATTACGCTGCTTTTCCTACACATGCTCTTTCAATATAAAACATAATCCAGGAATTACGAGCAACGCAACTGCAAGAATTGGGATCAGCCTGGTTTTCCCACCAGGGCCACCAAAAGGCTCCTACCTGCTTACCCTGTGCTCCTCCTGCAGAAGGCAGCAGGAGATAACGAGACTTTTCCAGGGCAATACCCATTCCCACTAGCATTCACAGCCTAGGAAAGCAAAATGACAAGGAGCACGTTACATGAAAGCGGGCCGCCATGCCAAGCCTGTGTCATGTGTATTCTATTAAGCTGAAGGCTGAATAGAAGACTTTGTTTTCCACTTCAAAGGACCCCATCCCAATCTCTCGCTCTTCCCTTATGAATAACAAATTGGAAATAAATCTTCTGGCTGAAGCGCATGGAAACTCGTACAGTTGGGGCCCTCTGCAGCTTCCCAGCTCAATCACATGCTAATTTTTTCTGTAAACACTTTTCTGTGAGATATATGTAAATCTCGCCGTGCATTGCTGCACCATGTAAAGCAATACAGCGGGTGAGTCCTCAAGGGATGGGACACAGTGGGAAGCCTGAATGCAGATTTCCAATTATTCACAGGGATAATGTTCGCAGAGAAGGGTCAAGTTTTATACATGGGCAGAGCCTTACTTTTCCTCCTAGTGATCCCATTTCATACTGTCCCATAGGCCAGGGTCCTCTGCTTCTCACCACAGAAGTTATTTAGCTTGTTTGATACTGAGAATATGAGGACACCCTATTTTGCTGGGCAGTAGGTGCATTGGAAAAGTCACTCTTAGGATATACCAAAGGCTTTTCAATCTAAAAAAACGAACTACAAAAGAAAAGATTACCACCACCTTTAAATACAGGGGGGAAGTATGTGGTGCCATAAATGTGGGCTCCTTGCACACCTGGCCACCAGACGGCCAATAACCTCGGACTGGTTCACACAACGCCTTACCTGTGCGTGCCTGTCACCTTTGCCATTTGTTTGTGCTAAAAGTTTGGGGCAGAAATCATCTGTTTTGTGATCCCAACACAGTCGGGTCTTGGTCTATATTCAGGACACCTAAGCTATGGTGATCCTGGGAAAGTGCAAACTTTCTCAAACTTGGTGCCCAGCCCAGCACCCAAACGCTGCAGGGAGCAGTGCAGAGAATGAGACATCTCCGCCCTGGCCTTGCTATTCTTCAGGCACTAGGAGGCAAGCAGTCCTCATGGCATACACTAAACTCCAAGCCCACAGCTGAGTAAATATTACAATTCACTCCAATGATAAGCATCTGTAGTATTTCTGCCTACCCCTCTGTTGAAGAGAGTGTTCAACTTCATGATAACAGAGGGGAGAAAAATCTCTCCGAATTAATCACATGGATTTGCGTGCGTGTGCAGTCCTGCAGACCCAGGAAAGAAAAGCAATTTTCACGTTTGCCTTTGCTACTAGGTATTTTACTCGCAACGTGGCATTCTGCATGGCTGATCCCTACAGATGCATGGCACATTAGCTCCAGGAGAAGCAAAAAATTCATAAGCGGATTGGCGTTTCTATACGTAAAGTCAAACCCAGAGCATAGAGCCAAAGGTCCTCCCCAGTGAATTTTTATGTGCATATGTGCAGCATATGTGCAAGTACATGTGTATATTATCTTGCAGGAAACATGCAAGCCCAAACATAGGAAAAATTCAATGATCTAAGTTCACTGTTGACATAAACGTTGAGACTCCATGTGGACTAATGGAGTTATACTCACTTATGCCAGTACTGAATTTGGCCCTAGAATTAAACCCACCCAAATCCTAGATAAATTGAGAGAAGGAGAACAAAAGTTGGCCTACATGCAACAGCATATTTTTCATGTTAAAAGCATTTCATTCCCTTTTTCTCCCCATATAATACTGCATTGATGTCTGTGACCCATTTGGATGTAAATCAAAATGGATGTGCTAAAAGCCTGGTTAAAGAAAATGTCTTCAAAACAGCGTTCCCATGGCAAGGCAG